GTATTGTATTCAGTATTTAATAATAAGTAACATTATCGCACCTATTTGCATGTATTTTACTTTGGTGTTACGTGCACATTAACTCTTATCGTTAATGTCCATTTTTGAAAAGCTTTGATCCCATCAAGTTCCAACCATCTTAAACATGATGGCAGCAGTATACTGTAATGACCCATATCTTCTCATTCTGTGTCAAGCAAGTAAACACAGAGGGCTGTTTAATAGAGTACAGTATGTTTCATTCTGTAATAATAACTATCCCATGTTCTTTTACACACCATGACATGGAGTCTTTGTGGACGAAACTAGTATTTTATTAATCATTTTCCAACAACTCTGGGGAAAATGCCACAGGAACTGTAAATAATAAGAACATTTTTCTTTGCCCATTTCTGAAATTCTGAATTCACAAATATAAGATCGAGTGAGTTCAAACTCTAACACCCAATGCTTTTGCTACAGAACACTCAACCCAACCCCAAACAGTTTTTGGTTTTGTGGGTTATACCTTAGTATAGTGTGAAAGAATGAAGATCTGAAAATGAAATATCTACAGTATTATGCCCACTGCAATGGCATTGTTGGGGAACTGTTAGTTTTCAGCACTGTAAGAGCACAAATCCAGAACAGGTACAAGTTCTTGGACTGGAGTTTGTTCAAATTAAAAACACTACCTCTGTTACACATTTTAACAAGTCTAGATATAAAATGTGATTGCTAATAAAATGCAAAACAAAGTAAGTCCTTTCTTGAAGAAGTCATTTCATCTTTCTGCACTCAAATCAAACTCAACTACTCTTTTCTGAATTTAGCCATACACACAGGGTAAATGTCATAATGAATATTTTAAACTAATACAGCACAAATTAATGCATTGTTGCTGCAGTAGCTAAGAAGCAAAGCCAATCCAACAATTTTTACTGCTGTTTGCAATAGTGAATCTACCATGGTATTTTTGCACTTTTTGTTGTACCTTAATTTTTACAAGGTTTCCTGTGTGTGACAGGCAGCACTGTCTTTACCATGTTTTTCTACACTGGACTGCGGAAATACCATGGTATACCATTACAGATGTTTGTAAGGAGCTCACACTCCTTATATTGTATATACATACAGTATTATATACAATATAATACATTATAGAGTAAAACATCATGGTTTACCCTTTCTCCAGTATAGCAGAACACATTGAATGTTAAATCCAAAGGAAACCATAGCAATAACAAGACGGAACCCACAGTAAAAGTAACAAAATATTATGATACTCTCCATAGTAAACTTTCACCAGTGTAAACTAAATTCACATTTAAAAAAAATAAAAAATAAACCTTTAATTTTGTTTTTTGGGGAGGTGTTTATTTATATTTAAAACCAAAGCTATAAATAAAGGCCAACATTCTGGCAACTTAGGATGCTTTTTTCTTTAAGAAGTACTGTATGATCAATACACTACACACCACACATCTCTACAAGAAAGAGGCCAAACTATATGTAAACTTTTGTTTTACACACAACATCTTTGGAAGAAACTTCAAATAGAAAAGACTTCAAACACACAGAGTGATATCTTTGATCTTGTTCCGAATGCAATAAAGTTATGTTGCATTAAATTTTAAAAACTGGACTCACAACTCAACACTGTAAAATAGGTTCTCAGGTGAGAGGCTGATCATTTGGGGCTGTTCTCTACAAGCTAGATAAAAAAAAACTTTATCTATTCAGAAGGCTTATTATGAGATTCAATTCTCTATAACCTCCAAGTACAGAATCACTGTATTCTTAATAGTTCAGTGATAGGCCATTATTTCTATAAAACAATGTACAACGAAAAAATGTGTTCATGTTTGAGATCACTAAATATTGCTTAACAGAGGATGATACTGTACAGTAGTTGGAAGATATGTCAGATTACCAGGAAAAGCATTATGAAAATTGCTGTTGCATTTACTGTTAATATATTATTGTGAAATGCACTCAGTACCCAAACCTAGAATACAGTTTACTGTATGTGTCTATGATTGTAAGAATTCCAGGAAACATATGTACTGTAAAATAAGTTCTGGGTAATTTAAGTCTTCACTATGGAGTTGTAACAGAAACAATTTTAGTTCAAATCTAAAAGTCAAAGTCAAAATTTCAGAATAAGAATTATTTGCAGTTCAATACAGTAAGTACTACTTTACAGTAAGATGTAAAGTAGCATTGTGTAAAGGACTGTGTGCACTATATGTATTCTATGCTATGAGGAGTTAAGTTAAACAGCACACTTGTTTGCATTCTTTCAGTCACTGTCAGTGTAGACAGTAAGTAACAAGATATTGTTTTCCAAAACATACAGCTCTACTTTGCAAAGAACCACAAACCCTGAAATTTTATAAGCATTCGGTGGGGCAGAATGGTACATTAACCATATGAGAAGCCCAAAACTATCCTATGATTAAAGACATCTGTATTCTGATTAATGATCATGTCAGACAAGACACTGCTGTTTCAATACTAATTAAATATTGTCTGTATTTAGTATGTGTCATGTTAGACTTTTATTAATTCATATCATCACAGTCAACCACTTGTCCAAACATATTTTCATCAGATGCCATTTTTTCTCGTTACTCCCAACTCAATTTTAACAAATCTGTGAGCTAGAGGATTTCCAAAAATTCATCAGCAAATCTGACTCCCCCCATGGTAAATAACTGAACAATTTCAGTAATTACTTTAATTTGGATATACAGTAGATACCTCCAACAATTCGTGCCTATAGTATATTAAGCAGAACATTTTACATGGTTTCAATTTAATTAGTCTGCTTTCAGTTGTTCATTTGAGGTACTATATATGAATTAATCATAAGACTTCATTACTTCTTGTCCAGCTTATGGAATCTCAGAAATCTTCTTCCCATGTTTTGTTGATTATCTCTCCCCTCTTTTGCATTTCTAGCATTTTTCTTGAATTGGGCACCTGGGGAAACCTACAGTACTACCATACTGTATCTCTCCTCCTCTCCCAGGCCATTACTTTTCTGTAGGCCAAAGTTTCATGCCCCGTCACTATTCCACTTTAGTGTATAAATTCCCTGCATGCAACAGGTGCCAGGTGGGATAGACCATACAATCTCCATGCTGCTAGAACCCCAGGAAATGAATCCAGGGCCCCAGTGCTTGATTAGATAAAATATTAAGACAGTTATATTATGTGCCTTGTTTAATTGTTAAATCAACCAATGTTCAATTACTGAGCCAATGTACAGATTACATTCCTGATTAGAGAACCCAGATGAGAAGATTTGCGATTTAAAATACTCTGCACTCAGTTTTAATAATCTGGTGTTTAGAGGTATCTGTATTGACATTTTACTAATTAATCAACACCTGAATATTATATTTTCATGTAAGTGTGGTAGATTTTTAAACTTTAAACATAAGTGTTATTTTACCAATTGTTTTCCAGGAATTGGTTTTGAATTAATAGTTCAGTGATAGGCCATGGTTATTTTTTTTTCTGTGTTAGTCTAAGGCAATAAATAAATATAACATTACGATTTAAACATTTAGGCATAAACAGCAATAATGTAAATTGTTATCAGTAATTTTAATTTATTCTATCAATTAAACTATTTTGGAAGTATCTAACTACACACATAGTTCCCTAAGATGCAAAATGTAAATGTGCACAATTGCTGATATTGACACATTAGAGAATAACTCAGTTTGGAAGTTAGACCATATTTGGAAGTAGATTCTCTTCCATTAAAACATAATTAAATGATAAGATGGTAAATTTGTATTTTTATATTACAGTGGATGGAGCTCATGACCCATTTTGAGCTTTCACATCTCATATATATAAAGTCTTTGATAGCTATTAAAGTGCAAAAAAAACTTTTGGGTTATTAAAATATACATTCTCATAACAGACCACTGGTACTGTAGATGTTACAAGTAAGTTCAGACTGAGTGATGGGTCCCATAATCTATCGGACTGTTAACCTGTAAGAACACCCAAAGGCTGGTTAATGAAACATTCACTTTAAAATTGTTACCTCTCTACAGATAGAGTATAGACATAATCTGACTTCTAAAATGTCGGTAAAATACAACCACAAAAAAAAAACATTACATAGTGGTTCGTACTATATGAATTCCACATTTTCAGAGATTTTGCATATTAAGATTTCTCAGTTGTTTTTTATAAACTATAGAACAAATCAAGTCACTGGCGTCATTGCTTTTATAGAAAACCATAATTCAGAATAAATCTTAATGCAGAGTGTAACTGTGAGTATTTCACTATACATCAGTCTTATGCTAATTATTATACAACTATAAATGCTATAATTAATGGCATGTTACACATTACAAATCTGGATGTTCAATTTTGCCAAGCATAGTCCTCGAAGACTGTTATGAAAATTTCAAATGTTTGTACACTGCTTCTCCTTAATACCATTTTTGTATAATGTCATTAACATGTTATTATTTACAGCAGAACCAAATTAAGCTCTTTGTTAGCTTCCAGTATAATTCCAAACTATGTGGAAATTTCTTACTTCTTACATTCAAATGCTTCAAATGGCCTGGACCCAACTTACATAAAGCACTTGCTTTGTCAATATGTGCTGGAACAGAACCTGCACTCCATGAAAAGCAACCTTCTCCACATACCAAGGTCAAAGTTGCGCACCATGAGAGACTGTGCCATTAGTACTCTGGCCCAGGGCCTCTGGAATGCTCTTCCTGGGTCTATCAAGGACAGGGCTTTTTTTAATCACATCTAAAGACTTATTTCTTTTTATAATGTTGTAAATGTAAATCTTTTGTAATTCATTACACTTAAGTATTTTCTCTAGTTTGAGGATTTTTGCAATGCAAGGTGCTAAATACAGTACAGTAAATGCCTTAAAATTAGATTAGAAAATGTCTCCATGTCATAAAATGTGCAACCAAACTTATATTCACAAACCACGTTTTAACTCAGATTTATTTTATTTCTTCCAGTTCTTTACTGAAGGAATCACAAACCAACTGATAGGCTGCCATGTGGATAAATTAATGGAAGACGTAGTCCTGGTTCGTATCCATGGAAAAATGACTGACCTCTTTGTGGATAGAGAGACTGAAATGAAAAGTTTTGAAGTTCTTCATGCCCATAACTGTGGACCTCAGCTCTACTGCACTTTTGAGAATGGAATCTGCTATGAGTATGTGAAAGGAACGGTCTTGGGCGAAGGACTGGTGAGACAGCCAGCAATATACAGGTATTCATTTGCTCCTGTGCTCATGTTACACCAGATGCAAAACGGACAAAGTGATTCTACAGTTGTAGTACAATTAGTAATATGTTAAAAGTTTAAACTAGCTGTCAATATATTTTTTTTAAGTTTTAGTTTTAAAATAACACAGTTTTAGATATATAGAAAAAGCACTTTACTGTACTGTATATGGGAAAATTTAGTTGTGTTCTATGCTGCCATCATTAATGAAAACATTATTTTTGTCAATTCTGTTATAGACATACAATACAAATGTCAATTTTGCTTTCTTATAGCATTTGAGGAATAACAACTTTTCGTACTGTATATGCGACACAATGCAATTAAAATGTTAATCAGAGATAGAACAGATAATTGCATTCCATTATAAGTAGGTACTTATTGTACTTTAGTCTCACTGTTAGATGATATGGAGACCCCATTTATGGAGTAGAACATTATTTTCTTTCCAGTAACAGGGTTGAGAGTAATTTCAGCTTTAAAAACCCAAATTAAACAGTGTATATTTGTGGTAAGCTAAAAAGATACATTTTCTCCATAATTATTGGATTTTATTTTTCAATATAATGGTATAATATAGACTTTATCAAAATGTAATACATTTTATTAATACTGTACCAGAAAGTACTGTACATACTGTACCTTATAATATAGACAAACAGAATACAGACATTTGAGATGTATGATACCATATTGATATCTTATATTACATGAATTCATAGCAAAATAACAATTTGCAAGACATTTTACAATGACATTCTGGTTTTCAAATATTAGTTCCAATTTTACACCATTTATGCACTTTCATAAAGCTAACAATGCAGTAGCTCAAGAATTGTACATACAGGTGTCTGTATAGAGCAGGGGCACAATTAACCACCAAATGAGTTGCAAATACCATTTTAAAGTAGCTGTAGCATGCAATGGCTTTGTTTTATATGAACATTTTAGTCTTCGATTAACGAACAGTTGCTTGAAGCATAAGCAGATCACCAGAGGAATATGGTAAATATTTTCAACTTTATGATGTCTTAATGTGAACTGCCTTATTTACCACAATTGTCAGATGAGATGAATTAGGATGTCTGTTTTAATCAACTGAAGCAATTAGGGTGGACAACATCAAATCTTCATAACAGATAAGGTACTGGATTTTAACATTAAGTTTACAAAATACAAATTTAGTCAGACAATAAGACTGCAATAACTTATGGTTCAACAAGTAATTTTATGGTCAGCCAATGCAGATACCCCTTAAATTTCACATAGTGGTAGTTTGCCTTTCTATTATAAATGAACAACCCTCTCAACATAGGCAAAATGAGATGTTTTCTGATTTTTTTCTTTTGGCTACAGTATGTATATACATAAAAAGTACAGGTTTCAGTGAAGTCTGTGTAAGGGAGTAAAAACACTTTAAGTGTGGCTGTTCAGAAGTACAAGGAGCTGTTAAATCAGGCTTTTCGTTTTGGATGCTAATTTCAGCACACAGCCTTATGCTGACAATGTTCGGAAACCTTTGCTCTGCCTGATGTTCTGTGTAAAAAAAAAACATTAACAGAACCACTTAATCATTGAACAAAATAAAATGCACAACCCCCAGCAGGGAGAGTTACACAAGATGTTCTGCTTAAGTGTGCTATCAACATCATAGATTGCCCTCTTATATCACTGACTCTTAACCCAACTAAGCACCGGTGAAACCAATAGGCAAAATGCATACAGTATGTACTGTAGCATTAGATGTACAGTATACAGTTGGTGAATATGCTTCTGTCAACTTTTGTAGATACACTTAGTCATGTGACCTACTGTACAACACAAGTGGCTTTAAAAGTTGTCACAAATTTACTTACAAATGCAATTACTGTATGTCACAATTGAAGCTGACTTAATAAATCTAATGTATCTGATGTTTGTTTGAATTTGGTGTTGTATTTCTAAAGAGTGTGTGTATATATGATATAATGTAGATACTACAGGCAAAAGGCATTAAAGTCATGCCCCCAGGCTGTGATACAAGGAGCTGCTCAGGGTTGACTGTGTATCAATATATTGAACACAGGTAAAGAAGAGGGGGCACATTTACAATAATATTAATTTGGTTTATAACTAAATCGGTTTGCCTGAAATCTTTTTTTTACAAATTGTTTTTTTAGCAATGACCTTGCATAGTCTAACTATTAATTAATCCTCTGACAGACAGATGTACACAAACATCTGTGCTTCAGAAAAAAACTAAACTTATTTATGATGTAGTTTAAGACAGGACAGAACCTCTCACTTTACGGAGAACTTATTAATAATATGTTCTCAGTAATGTGTCTAATCTCTTAAATCCATTTAATTAAGCACAAGCAACCATATTGATGATGTCATTCTATATCTATTTGTGATAATTTAACTAAGATTTAAATATCTGTAATAAATTACAGACAGTGGCAAGTTGAAATAACCACATCATTGACTAAATTATAGCAGCCCTAATGATAAAATGGACTGATTTCTGTACAGTATATGAATGCCATCAAGCAAAACTTACTAATGTAAGAGTAACATCTGCCTTGTGGGCTATGAATTTTCCAAGCTTGTTTTCCTAACCATTGGACTTGCCTTTCTATTTTTAGTTTGTAAACCCTGAAATTAAAAATGTCTCAGTTTCAACACAAATATTGATAGTAATCAATTCACTGAATTCTTCTTCGGAATTCAACTTCACAATTGTCCAGTTTGTGAAAATAAACAGATCAAAGGCAAGTGAACATACCTTTTCCTTCCCAAATGTTTACTAAGAACCAACTGGTCAAGATACCCTAAATAACTCCAAAGGTTATCCAGGCAACATTGACTGAATACTAAGCACGCTTCTGTTGATGAGGATCATAGCTAACTTTGCTATAAATTGCACCAGGCACAGAAGGATACTAACAAGTCCAAAGAGATTTTCCTTGAGGTTATTTGTTTGCTGTTTAATAATAAAGAGCAAGTCTTCTAACTGCTTTTTTCAAATCAGCTCCTTTGAGAATCCACTAAATCCAGCTCAAAGCAGAAGAAGCATTAATATATCCAATTACAATAAGATTTAATTTGTGTTTAAAACAGAAGTTATACTGTAATACTTGGAAGCACAGTTTCAACCACCCTGTAGCAGACTTACTTCACAGTACCATCACAACAATAACTAGATGGCAAATGATCTTTAAAAAGATGTCAGGGGGAAAAACATCTTGTCTATGTTTTACTTACAAATCCTAACATGATCCCCAGTAGGACTTGCTACTTACCACAGTGTGATGGGACTAAGTCAGACCAAGGGGACTGTTTTGTTACTCTTTCCCCCATGTAGAGCTGGCAGGCTTCAGGGAACAACATTTATTTAAAAAATTCTCTCTATATAAATACACATTTGAAGTGAAGTTGGATAAATACCAACGCACTTATGATAATAAAGTAACCAGTGACCAAAGACCATGGGAATAAAACACAGCCTGGTATCTGGTATTATGAAACTATTTCATATTCTTTTTCTATTCATGTACAATGTGAGGATTTGTACACTGATGGAGAACAGAACTCTGTGAAAACATTCAGTTCAGAATGTTCTCAGGAAGAGGGGGCTTATTTTTCAGACAAGGTCACAGTTGTTTCTGGTCATTATCCTTTAACCAAGCACAGGACAGCTTTCACATGCAATTATTCTTATAGCGAGGATGTAAAACCAATTATAGACAGCATGGGGCAAACTGTAAAGATATTCTTGAGGGTCCAGATCTTTTCTCAGTTATCTTGGGAGAATATTTTTGGATTAGGCTGACCAACAAGGTTACACGAGACAGTGTTTTAGAAAAGATTAACATTGTCCGGTAGCAAATGCTTTAGGCATCTCTGTGCATTATAATATAAGGCTAGGCTTGTGAAACAAAGCATATTAAGAAAAAGAAAGAAAGACTGCAAATCCTGCCAGAACAGGTCAGAGATCTAACTTTCTATTAACATGAACACACCGTTAGTATACCATGTTGATGATGTGCTGCACGTATTGTAATATGATTTTTTAAATCCTACAAAACTACTTTAATGAAAAAAAGAACTTCATAAGTAATAAGAATGGATAATGAAATAATGAATTAAAAGTGAGAGTATTATTTTAAATCAGAGCATTTCAAAAAGAGGAATAGATAAACAACCATCATGACACTTTTCATCATGAATGAATATAAAGGTTATACATGTATGTAATTTGCCTGATGCAAATGTATGTTGTTACCTTTGTAAGAATATGTTCCTTGCCTTATGTAAACATCATTATTCCTTTTGTAGGTTAATTGCAATGGAAATGGCAAAACTTCATTCAATTCCAGCACAAAACAATTCACCTGCCAAACCAATTCTGTGGAAAAAGATCTCAGAGTTCCTTAATTTAGTCAAAACCTCTAAGGATGACTCACCAGTTTACAAGTGGTAAGTTGAGCAAACCTTAACATAAACTTTCTTAATGACACATCTATCTAGTTTGCATTAAAAAGTTCAAATACAGAATTTCTTTTAAAAATGCAGATCATTTTCTTTCCACATTAGTCCACTGCAGGAATTTAACAAACCACAGTATCTTTATAAAAGGCACTGAGCCTTTAAGCAAAACCTTTTTCAAAACATCTCGGTTTAGTTACAGTAGCAAACAGGCCTCTATAACACCAGAATTTGGCTTTTACAAAATGTGTTGAATTTCCAATGGTGTTAAAAATACATGAACCTTTAACTTATAAAGTCAAGCTACAATAATAAGTAAGAGTTCCTACACTATTAGATAACAATGAAAAAATGCCACTGCAAAATAAATGTAATAATACAGTATGGAGTAGTGGCTCATTTGAAGACTGAGATCAGATCAGATTGCACTGACAAACAAAAACCTACCCATAAGTGAAGCAGCATTTGAGCAGGCTGGTGGGGATAGAGTTTTTATTTAATCTGAGCCAAAACTGCATCACACTGGAGGAATGAGCTTTCTTATTATTGTCTGCAAATCAAGTACAGTACACATGTTGGCCTACCGTATATCTGCTTTCACCACTTAGCACCATCCCCTAAGAGCTGGGAGACATTTTCAACAAGAGACCAAGCAGCACCCAGCCTTGTCTTCATGACTACTGTACTTAAATAAAATATGGTCCAATAAAGATCAGATGGAAGCAATCAAGCCCCCACTAAATTTGCTATGAACTGATTAAGATAAACTGCTTTTCATCCACGGTTACCCAAACCAATCAATTAAAGCAATCAATTAAAAACCTGCCAGCTGAGCCTCGTCGAAGGCTGAGTAAAATCATCAGTTCAGCTACACATGATAAAGCCATAATAAAGCTGTTGAGAAAGATTTCAATTTCCGGGATTTGGAAAAGAAAAACTTTCATAAATAAAAATGTGTCTTTTCCAGGTTTAGCTCCTGTTTATCACTGCTTTGTTTTTCTGTTGAAGCTTCAGGCCCACCACAATGGATCATTTTATTTTAGCCCCTTGAACCCTTAACTATGTGCACCAATAGACCTTAGTGGAAATAAAGCGTTTTCCTGTTCTCTGCAAACAAATCAAGAAAAACATTAAGATCTTGGCAATACTGTATAAAAACTGTCTTATAAAAAGTTCACATCAAATGATGGATAATTTAATCATAGTAAACAGAGTGTATTAAAATGGATGGAGAACAGAATTTAGTAGATCAACAGAACAATTTTTCCGGGTCATCTATATAACAAGTATTAGCAACTGCTGATTAAAGAATACATTTTTTCACATTTATTACTATTTTATGAGAGGTCTTACAGATTTTTACTGTAGTGTTTGACTTTCTGGATGCCTTATAAAGCCTAAGGTAAATGCTTCAAGCATTTGGTTTAAATTACTTAACTTTGTTGTGGTCCAATGGTTGTAACTCCTATGGGTTTTCCAGGTAGGTGGTGTGCTAATAGAAGAGAAAAAATCCCCCTTCTTTACTGTTGCACATTTTAAAGCACTCTACAAAGGGACTTTCTGTCCATCAGAAGTAGGAAAAGAAAAAAAAATTAAAGACAGAAGGCAGTATGATGGCTCCACACTCTAGTGTTTTACTGTTGTGACCCCTCTTCATTAGAAGGTCAGCCATTTACATGCCAGCACTGTCGGGGTTAGGATCTGAGCTTATCCTAGTCATGAAGTCTGTTTCCGTATTTTGCTCACACACAGCAGGGCTGTGGGCGGAGTAAGGCCTTATCTCCCTGTGAAATTAAACCTCTTTTACTGTTTCAGCATCTAAAATACTTTTCTAACATGTTATTTCTTCTAAACATGAATACTGCGCCATGCACATGACTTAAAACAAATACTGTCCACACATTCAGTAAATAACTTTATGCTCATATTTATTCATACCTGCACACCCTGTAATTGAATTTAGAGTAAATTCTGAGTCTGAAGCCTGCCTTCAAACAGAGACATAAAACACATGATGAAACAATAGCTGCTAAACTCCTGTTTTTACACCAATTACCAATAATGCAACTTTTCACTTGCATACATTTTCCAGCATCAATATACTGTATAATGTGCTAAGGGGCACTAAAGGTTTTGGCTCCCCTAGATATCATATCAGGTTAGATTGCACTTTATTCTCCAGGAGTAAAAGTTGCTAAGACACCTCAGTACTAGTAACACCTGTTTTGGTCTCCTCATCTTCTGCAGTAAATGTGTTACCTGAGATGCGTGGGTCACTCAGGATGCCTGCACTCCACATGTATTTTACAAATTGATTCATCTCTGGACCTATAAATTTTAATTGATGCAGTGGAGGTTAATCCTTTCAGTTAATGAAAGGTAAATACAGATTAAATGCAGATTCTATTTCATTCACAAGAGAACTCTTCAAACTTATGCTGTAGACATCCTTTCATAATAATTAAGAACAATAAGTCCAATTATAAGTGCAATGGAAACCAAATAATAACTCCTTTAAATTAATTTATGTTAATGTTTTAATATGTTTAAGAAAAACAAATTGCTTCCTGCAATTATAGAAATCATAGAAATCTCACATTAAAGATCACAAAAGCAAAATAATTAAGAGCAAAAGGAAATTTTTAGAACAATTAAATAAATATACATCAACATGTATTTCATTATTTTCAGGTACCTTTTTCAGAGGTGCTTATTTGGATTTGGATTATATTACTTATAGTCATGTGAAATCTTGTGAAAAATGTTTTAGGGCTATACAAATCATTTCTACTATACTGTAGGTTTGTGGTATGTCTTAAAGCTGTACTGTGATAAAAATACATTTCTGATGTCCCCATTGCAATTAAGAAAATTTGGCCATCTGAGCACTAAGGATATCAATCTGAATTTTGAACTACAGTATTAGGTTTTCAGTAAAATAAATGTATAAACTGTATTCTCTAAACATACAGTAAGACAACAATATTTTGTTTTTTAAGCATTTGGAAAATACAGATAAATTGTGTCAAATAGATGTCGGGCTACATTTCTTTATTAAAAATATATGCATAATTGTATAAGATACAGCACTGCGAACTGTATTGTTTGTAGTCACATGTAGTCGGAGCAGGTACTGTACACTACTTCAATATTCATGCTTAAACCATTAAAAAGATACTCCTTGTGTCTTAGGTAAATTGGTTCTCTTTGATTTTGCTCAATATATATGTTTAAATGTTTTTTCCTGATTTTGGATAAGTTCATATTTTGTCGTGAGGTCCCAAATGATTTGCATAATAGTATGTCTTTAGAAACAGATGAATCCTGGCTTTGCTTTTTTTTCTGTAATCTACTGACATGTTCAATAAAGCAGAAGACAAATATTAAAATTAGCAGTGGGCATCTAGATGAAATAAAGAGTAATTACAGTGTACATTCCATGCAGAAGGTCAGATGTTAAAGGGGAGTTCCAGACAGTACAAAGAAAAAATAATTTCAAAGCTTCCTTAGATGATTTTCTTATCAGTCAAACGTTCACTTTTATTTACTTCAGTTGCTGTTCTAAAATATTAATGCTTAAATCTGAAAATGAGACACACCAGCAAAACGTTTCTGTTTTAGCTCATTAACTAACAGACACATAAAACAATTTCATATTTCCTTTGTGTTCAGAAAAGCTGGTGCAATTAACTAACAAGAGGGTTATCAATTACTTTAATACAAGACCTGGGAGAGACACAAGCCTCCAGGGCAATACTCAACATTTTGATATGATGGTATAGTTTAGTGAGAAATGATATTTAAATAAAAATGGAAAACCAATTCAATATTAAATGTTGTTTAATTTAAATTCACTTATCTGGGATGATATTTTTTTTCCTTAACACTTAATCATCCATCATTCCATCAAATTATTAAATGTTGAAAATAAAATTCTGATATCCAGAATATTATCTAAAATGTAGACCATTGCCCCTTTAAAAAATGACAAGGTCTAGAAAAAAAACATTTTAGTAACAAAGAAAGAAAGCCTTTCAATTTGTGAAGCCACTATCAATCTATGATTAGTGTTGTGAGCAGTTCTGATGTAGCAAATCTGTAAGGTCTTTGATCGCTTTCGTTGGGAGTCACCAAAACAGTTGCACAGTGCTGAGTGAAACACTCTAGAAGCCATGTTAAATCTTCTTTCCTTTTTAGCATGAAACCTACTGTAGTTCAGTATTACTACAGTACCAATATGTTCCACACACAAGGACAGAGAAAGCTGCTACAGCTCTGCAAAAAACTCCTGTTGGAAGTCTGCATTCAAAACGTTATTTATTTAGAAAATAAGCACTTGATGTAACTTGCTTCTGATAAAATAATTCATGGAACAAACTAACGTTTCTAATAACTAACTAGGAATCGTGTGGCAAAAGTAGATTCAAGGCTGATCAATAGAAGCCTTGGGGTTTATGTACCTTGGTCAAGGCCACTAGATTAGTATAGGTATAGTGCAAATATGACTTGTCTTCTCACCCACCCAAGCTCCTACAGCACATTTTGTTTATCTAGTCTCATTAATATGATTATCAAAACAGCCTTCAGGCAGCAAGGATGCAGAACAGCCCTTTATAACACTCAGTGGACACTAGATCCTGTCAAGACTTCAAGAACACAATGGAAATGTTTTTTGCTTTTAATGTTTTTTTTTTTTGGTATGTGAAATGAGGTTAAAAATCTATAATGCAAAACAGGGAGCATAATATTACAATATCCAGCAGAGTAATTTTTGATCTACAGTAAACATGAAATCCAATTATAATAAAGTTATTGACATCCATCTTGCTGTTCTTCAAATATTAAATTAAAAGGCCAAACACATGCATTCTTTTATGAGAAGATTTACACATGGGTTTCATATGAAGCATCAGTGGTGAAAGATGAATCATTAACTGGAGCCAAAATCTGTTGTAAAACAGCAAATCACATTACACTTTCAACCATTCATA